TTCATTCTAATAGAGAGAACCGTTTTTTTTTACAATGCCAAATTGGAAATAGTGTCCATTTGTCGTTTATCAGCTCAATCAAGAAAGTAATTTCCTTTGTATTCATTGTGAAAGACGTATTTCTCATACAGATGAATTGAAACAATATTTCTATATCACTTTACAAGAGGGATTGTTAATTTCCATATGGTTCAGATATTCCTAGCAATCATTTATTTTAGACCGGCGAGATTTAGAAGCGTTTGACTACTCACTTGAGTCCTAGTTAGTCTTCTTTCGTAGTACAAAATATGAATCAGATAAACTCTTACATAAATGTTTTTCGAAGTTCATTTATGTGCTAAAAAAAAGTTAATGAGAAATTCATATAGGCAAAAAACAGTATATAGATATTTTTGGATATGCTCATTTGACGGAATAACCTTGTGAGCATATGAAATTCTCATAAACTATTTCAAAAAATTCTTTTTAAACGTTTATTTAATAGTGTAAAAAAGTGCAACGCATAATAAACCTGTTTTATAAACCTTGATAGAAGCGCTCATGAAGATTTTCCTTGTGGCAAACAAGAGTTTATAAGATGTTGTATTTTCATAATCTTTAAGAATTTTTGTTCTACGTTTTTCTCATAGTGTATTTTACATACAGAAGGTGCATCCTTCAACTTGTTTCTAGAACAGATAAAATCATGTGCTGCTATCATTAGTTTGTTTTATTTATGAGTCGAATAGACTCGATATGAGTTCTTCAAGAGAAAAAAGTTGTATCCCTAACGAGGGAACCGCCCAAAGTGATTCACTACTTTTGAGCTTATATTTTGTGCATATAAAGGGGACTTCTAGACCAGAATAATCCTAAACGGATTCGAGTCCATAGGTCTCCGCTACAGATTTATAGCCATTTTACTTCAGTTTTAGGCTATGGCATGGTATGCGCATACAAAGAGACTGAGAGTAGTTCGACTTGAAATTCTGTCTGCAGATAGGTCTACTTGTAGTTAGAATGTCCTGAAAATTTTAGCTCAAGAGAATGTTTTCTTCGCGAAATGTTGAATTTTCTAAAATCATTTAGATCTCATAAAAAATGCAAGAATCTCATGTTTTATTGATGTTCAACATCTTGTGAAGGAAACATTCTTTTGTGTTAAAATTTTTAGGGCATTCTAGTTACGAGTAGACCTATATGTGGACCAAATTTCAGCTCGAAATATCATCAGTCTCTTTTTTTTTATGCATATCGTGTCCTAGGTTCAAATTAAATTAATATGGCTGTAACTCTGTAGCGGAGGTCTATGGGCCCGAATCCTTTTAGAATTATTCTAGTCTAGAGGTCCCCTTTATATGCTCAAAATATGAGCTCAAAAGCGGTGAATTACTTCGGGCAGTTCCCTCGTAAGTTTTTTATTTTGGTGTAGGCTCTCTATTGTAAGTTCAGAATCTTTGCCACTATTCGTTCCTTTATAAACTCGATCCATTTTCGACTAATGCATTTCAAAAAACGTTCCTCATCATGCGTACAGAAGAACAACTTTTCCAAGACACACTGAATATAGACCTATTTTTCTACCTGTTATAATCATTTGATGAAGGCTTTGATTATCTACTTTCTTACTTCACTATTGTTGGAGATTAGATCTAACCTCTACATCACAAGTTGGTTACTCATAAAATATGATGCATATAGTGCTATGATGATAAAAGAATTGAAAGTAGAATTTAAAACTCTAAAAGAACTGTATAAGTAATTGATGCTCGTTGAAGTACTCAATTGAATTTTCACATAAAAACATATCTCATTCTAGAAAGGAATTAGCAACTTTTGTTTGTTATATTCAATCTATTGTATATTATCATGAGCGACAACTATGTTGATACACTCAACAATGTGATCGGACAGATCACCCTGTTCGTACCATATTTCGCTATTATTGTTGGTACATTGGGTGCTCTCTGCAATCTTCTCACGTTCACTGAAAAACAACTACGCAACAATGCGTGCGCTTTCTATTTATTGTGTTCTGCTGCGTTCGATCTTGCCTCGCTCTTATTTGGGGCGGTCACACGACTTATGATAGAGCATTACACTAGTCTACTTCCAAATGAGTCTTCTTTATTTTGTAAACTACGAATCTATCTTGCAACTCTTATACCAGGTTTGGCAACCTATTGTGTGGCGTTTTCTTCAACCGATCGGTATTTACTGACTTCGAGATCGGCTGCTTCTCGTGCGTGGAGTCATATAAAAGTGGCTCGACGTACGGTAGTCACGACTTCACTCATCTGGCTACTGTTCAATGTTCATATTATCGTCTATCACGATGTGCAGATGGTAGGTACTAACAACAATGTTTTCATATGTGTACCTCATGGGAATGTTTACATCATTTTTGTTAGTGTCTACTTTCTTGTATGTTTCATGCTTATACCCTGTGCAATGATGGTCATTTCTAGTATACTGACCTTGATAAATATCAAAATGTCACAGCGTCGCGTGGGAGCTTTACAATTACAACGAGTAACAAACCGTCGTATTGATCACCATCTACTTATAATGATGTTTGTACAAGTTGGTCTGAGTGTGATCTTTCTTTCGTTTCGAATTGGTTCTCTAGCATATTCATTATTGACAAACAAAGTAAAAAAGGACACTCACAGACTTGCAATAGAATCGTTCATAACTCAGCTAAGTTTCGTTGTGTATACCGTCAATTTCTCCAAGTCATTCATCATATATACTCTCACAAGTCGACTATTCCGTAACGTCTTCCGTGAACGCATCATGGGTTTCTATAGAAAAATAAGTACTTTTGTAACAGCTATTTTTCCATAGCTTGAAAGTTTGAAGTAGTTCTTCGCTTGTGGGTACAAGGCTTCAGATCTGTCGATTTCAAAACAAACAGTGGAAGTTGTTTGTATACGAAACCTGCTTCCAAGAGGTACCGTTTAATAAATATTGTTTTTATTTTCTAAATCTTTGTATAAACATTTTTTTTCCAGATGTAAATGTATTGTTATTCAATCTCTAAAACTAGTTCATCGGTTTCCAATCAATAGCAATATGGATGTACTAACAAGTTAAATGGAAATGCACAAAACTCGTGTTTTATATTCTCCTACATTTTATATCGAAAAAACCGTCTACAAAGTGCTAGTCAACATTGTTGGATACATAAATTCTTTTCAATAGTACATGCCAACTTTGATAAACACGTGTCTTTGATTCTGACCTCTGAAACATGTCATAGTATAGTTATTCGTGTGGCTCCCACTTCATCAGTCTTGATCTACAAAACTGAAAACTTAACTGAAGTTTGGACACAAAAGATCTTCAACAGTACCTACAGGAACAATCCGATGTTGTCTACTACTATTCGCGTGTCAGTTTATGTTCATACTCCTTCGACTGAAGGACAATCATTTGAAATAAAATATGGTTTTAACGATGTATGTAAGTTTGCTTGCATG